CGGGGATCCCCAGCAGGACCCACTGCCTGCCGCACCAAGCTGCCCTCAGACAGGACGGGGGGCAGTCGGGACCCCTTTCCCCCCCCCTCACCTTTTCTCCCTTTGGACCTGGGGGGCCACCAGGGTCGCCCTGAAAGGGAGAGAGGATGGCATTAGCCCTGCCCAAGAACCCCAGCCAGCCAGCCCCATTGTGGAGCCCTGGAGGAGGGCACCTCGCCCCCTCCTGTGGTGATGCCAACCTGCAGCCACCACGTGCCGAGCCAGGGACGCTGCCCAGGCGCAGCCCCATGGCACGGGGCTCCATACCGGAAAGCCGATCCCTGGAGAGCCTGGCTTCCCTGGGGGACCCGGCTCACCGGCCAGCCCCTCGGGTCCCACGAGGCCAGGGTCACCCTGGAAGGCAAGGGCGGGTGTCAGTGCCGGCGCTGCTCCCGGGTGCCCCTACCCTCCCACTCCCCAAGCCCCCACTTACCTTCTGGCCCTTGGGGCCCACCACACAAATCTCTCCGGGCCGGCCCTGCCAGGAGGGGAGTGGGGTGTGAAGGCTCCACACGTGCAGCACCGTGCACGCCACGGGGCGGGCTGGTTCAGCGGCCGGATCCCGCTGCCCAGGGGGTGCCCCAGGGGATGCCCAGGTACCACCCGGCACTACTCACATCGCGCCCCGGGCGCCCCGGCTTGCCCTGCAGTCCCCCGTCGCCTTTCTCGCCCTTCTCACCCTTCTGGCCCTGCAGGACAGACAGACGTCACCCGTGCCATCTCACATGCTGCCCGGGTTGGCACCGGCAGGTTCTGGCACCTCTGCCACCATCCCGGGACCCACAGGGCAGTTGTCCCCGCTGCAATGCCAGGACCCGCGGGCGGGCTGGACTTACCTTCTGCCCGTCAGCGCCGGCTGCCCCCGGGAGCCCCTGCATGGGAACAGCAGGGCAAAGTGGGTGCCCACGGGTGGGCTCATGCAGGTGCCCGTGGGTGCTCGTGCAGGTCTTCCCTCCTCCCGCTCGCGCCACCGCTCCTTTCATCCCACACCACCCACAGAGCTGTCTCCTCGGGGCCGGACCCCCGCACCTCAGCCCGGGGTA